TCTTTCCCTTGACACAGGAAACACACGATCTATGTTCATTAACGTCATCTCCAAAAACATGACTAACCAGAGCCCACCTATTCCAGCTCTCAGTAACCAGAGGAAAAAAAGCACATGCTCCTTTTCCATCTCCTGCATGAAACATTATGGCAACTGCATAGAATATTTCTGGTGCCGATCCTTGGCAACTAATCTCTCCTACCCAGAAGACCAGTGCGGAATGGCTCTGGATATGGTATACGCTGGTGCCGGTCAGCCGCTCACCAGTTTCTCCCTCGTGTTCAGAGAAGGGTCCGTGCCCCGAGGAGGGTCGCGGTGCGGCCGGGCAGCCCCGCACAGCACGGGCACACCGGGGCGGTGTACTGCAACCTCTTGAACAACTCCAGCGACCAGCTGGAGCGTCGGGCAGCTGCCAGGAGGGCAAACGGCGCGGGCAGCCGGGTCAGCACCGCGCACCCGCCGTGCTCCACTGCCGGCCCCAAGGTGACACCGTGCCTTGCCAAACTTCTTCCTTTTATTTCCTCCTGTGGGTCAGAGCCTCCAGCGTAGCCTGGAGAACCTCTGCACACCCTCCGTGCGAGGCTGCACCTTCCCCTAGAACCCGCCGAAACACAGCTCTGATCTAGACGGACGCGGTCCCAAAGAGCTGGTCACCCATGTGTGCCCTCACCTCCTGCCCTGCGGGTGCGCGGCCACTGCCAGGGCCAAGACACCCGTCACCCCGGGCCGGTGGCTCGGACACCGCGGGGACGGGCAGGGCCACGAGGGGGACGCGGAGCGGCACCCCCTGACCCAGGACGGAGGTGGCAAAGTGGACATCTCTGCTCTACTCCGGGGAAGAGGAGGGGGGTCGCACCTATTCATCCCTCCTATTTTACACGTCTCCCTTAGGATTTGTTTCCCTTAGGAAATAAATCAGGATCTTGAAAAGGCAGTTTTCACACCAATCCTAAAGACAGCTGGACGATCAGCAGTTTTCAGCACAGATACGAAGAGCAAAGCACGATATACCTCGGATTTACTGCCTGTGTTGCAAGTATTTCTGCTCTCTTCTTTCATGGGATTTCTAGTGGTGGGAATGGGACAGTCCTCAAACAGAGGACTGAAAGGAAACCCATGAACTGAGTCTCCAAATCATTCCCTGGGTCACGGGAAGATCAGTAATTTGCAAAACTCAGCGCTAAAATAAATGGCCAAGTGTCCTTCTCTGCAGCTTTATTTGTATTGCCGTTAACGCTGGCTCTGTAGCACCTCACCTGTACGTTACGTGAAATGAGAGACGCTGTGACAGAAGAAGAACGTCCATTTTGAGGTGAGAGGGAAGTCTCCCGCCTCTCTGCCGCCCAGCTAACAGCAGCCCTCTCTCTCGGCGCCGCCCTCCCCCGGCGGGCGAGCGGGGCCTGCCACTGACAGGCAATGCCGCGGCCGTTAGAGGGGAGCTAATTTGATGGTGTGTTACAACACCCCCCCGGTACGTCCCCCACCCTCCCACGTCGCTCTGCCCTTGTTGCGCAGCAAACCCTGCTCCGGGCTCAGCTCCGGGAAGCCCAGCGCCGCGCTCCTACGGCAGCAGGCACAGCTCTGCCCATCCTGCTTTGCCGGCACGCCGGGGACCGCCGCCTGAACGTCCCGCTGAGAAATGAGCCCACCTCCTCCCGATCCACTCCCGGCGCTGCCCCGTGTCGAGGACTCACCGTTATCAAACACGGTGCCTGCCGTGAAGGAGAGCTCCGAGTCGTGTTCTGCTTTACAGGCGTACAAAGCCCGGGCTTTCCGCAGCGGTGAGCTGCAAAAAGAAAGCATTTATTGGTATAAAAAATACTCTACTCATACACAACAGCACTGCCCTCCCCACTGTGTCGAAGAGGGTCCGTGTAAGTGGTGCATGTTGAAGAGGGGTCCAAGGACCTCAACCGCTCTGCAAGGGTCTGAGGTTATGCTGCTCGGGGGAAGAGTGAGGAAGACAACAGAGGATGCTGAAGGCTCTCAGGGATGAGCCCCCAGTTTTCACCGCACTGCAAATCCCAGTCCGAGCCCAGCTGGCACCCCCAGCACCGGAGCCCGTGCCCAGTGCCAGGCAGGGGCAGCCCCGTGCCAGGGGTGCCCGGCAGAGCTCCAGGCGTTAGACGGGAGAAGCGCATCGGGGAGCTGGAACTGGTTTGTGAGTCTCCGAGGGGCCATAACCCACTGGAGGGCCGGCGCGGAGCGAAGGCAGCAGGAGCCGGCAGCGTCCCGCTGCCCACCGGCCCCGCTCGCTGCCGAGCCCATCGCTCTCCGAGCGCAGCTGCAACCGCCGGGAGAGTTTTGCAAGGAAGAATTAGCACTTAGGGAAGGGTATTTCAACACTGAAAAACAAGTAGGTCCGTGAAGAATTTGCTGCGCTTCTTTAGAGACTGTACCTGAAGATAAAAAAGATTTAAGAACCATTAGATTTTACTGGGGAAGTGTCAGCGTGCCCACGCTGCGGGGGAGTGAATTAGAGCAGAGAGCACCAGAAATGGAGCAGATCGCCAGCAGACGCGGGGAGAAAAATGAAGGAGCTCCGGACCCCCGCAGCAAAGCGCAGGCACGCAGAGCTGTCCCCTGCACCCGGAGCCACCCTCCCCTCCTCTCCGGCTTCAGGCTCGAGCAAGGCTGGGGGAAAGCAGGGACACCGCCCGGCCACGGTGAGGGTGAGGGTGAGGGTGTGAACCTGCCCAGGCACAGGGCTGTCGGAGCAGCCGGCCGCATCCAGCGCGGCGGCAGGCTGTTCGGCTATGGTACGGCCAAGCAGAGCGATGGAAGGGCCCCCAGGAGCTGCTGGGCTCAGGAATAAGGTGACACCATCTCTCAGTTCAGCAGTTTCACCAACTTTTATCTTTCCGAGGACTTGAACTTATTCTGAATTCTCCCCGAGCGAGCCCAGGGAAGCGGCACGCTTCCACCTCGCGGTGCAAGCCGTTCACCTTCACACCGAAACCACAAACTGGGGAAGCTGTGAAAGGTTTTGGTTTTGCTGTGCCGACAGCCCCAAAGCGGAGGTCCCTCCTCTCCAAATTCCAGCTGCCCGACACGAGCAGCCACCAAACACTTAAAAACCAGGATGGGCAAACACTCCTCCTGCTCCGGAGAGGCACCACTCACACACAGTGCACGGGGAGACTGTCAGATGAAAAACAGAAGGTATTTTCGGACTTACTACCTTGAATTACTCAAGTTGTTGTTTTTCTCCCCCCAAAAATGACTTCTGTAGCCCGGACCCCCACAGCCCCAGCCTGCCCCTTGCTGCTCTCCGGGCTGCGACTGCGCCCGCCAGAGCCCCACAGGGGCTTTCCGGGACGGAACCGCCGGAGCCCCGCCATCGCTCACGTTAGGTTTCTGCCTCCGAGCGTGGCACAAGGCCAGCAAAGCACTCAGGAGCTTCACCCATCTGCCCTTGTGCCATTTCAGGGATGATGAGCCTCTCTCCCCCAGAGGCGGAGGGCTGCTCGGGCGGTATCGCGCCGTTGCCAGCCTTTGCAGACGCGTAGCAAAACAAATAAATCACCCCGCCGAGCAGGCGGCCGTCGTACAGGCGGCACTTGTGTGGCTGTAGGTGTGGGGGAAGAGCTCGGTCTGTGCCTGTAATGAACAAACAGGTTTGACACGTCTCCCTCGGAGGAGGGATGGGTGCCGCGGGCTGGGAGCCACGCTCTGCCGGGGACCACAACAGCGTCCTGCTCGGCAGCGCCAGGGGTGGGCTCCGAGGAGAGATGTCCCACCCGAGGATTCCTCCACTGACCAGAGATGGATCATCCCACAGACCAGAGGCGATGCTGCCCTGGCGTGAGCATCCCCCACGACCTGCAGCGCAGGTCCCCAGCACTGCCCAGGGTGCGCTTACGGCACGACAGCATCTCCGGTGCCGGGACCCCCCGGCAGTGCCCCGATGAGAAAAGGAAGTGGTCAGAAAATGAGGCACCGCAGCCTTTTATGCAGGCTTATTATTCCTTGCAGCACCCGGGAAGGCAGCACCCGTCTTACCTGTCGCAGAGAGGAGCAAAGCGACCCGCGGGAGCCGAACTGCCCGGGAAACCCACAGAAACCACCAGCGACATCGAGCACTGCGAGCGCAACCTGCGAGCGCCCGCTCCCGCTCGCCTGGCCACCGGGGCTGGTTGGCGCCTGCCGGGGGGCTCGAAGCGGGGTCACAAAGGGTCTCCCCGGGGGGCAGGAGACCTTTGAAAGCTCCGCTCTTGCTGAGTGCAGATAGCTGTGTTGGGGGAGCTTGAGCGGGATGCGAAGGGAGAAGGCAAGTGAAGTGGGGGAAACCGAGTAAATCAAACAGAAAATAGCAAAAGCGACAAAAAGCAAAGCGAATTCTGCAACAGACCTGATGGGGGATGAGTCGCTGGACGTAGAGGAGGTGGGCATAGGACTTGATGGCGCAGAGAACATGGGCCAGGACGGTGAGAGGGGTGACGTTGGGCTTGGATTCTGAGGGCTGCAAGACATAACCAGATACCTTATCAACGTGCAACCACAGAAACAAACAGTAACCAAGAGACAGTCAGACGACATCCGACGATAGCGAGTGCCTTGGGAATATTCAGAGCATGAGACACAGCTACGAAATGAAGTGCCAAGACCTTGGGAAATGTTTCAAGGCCAGATCTGCATTTCTCTGGACAGCAAGAGCTGGATCTTCCAATTGAGCCCGACACCCCCTGTTCAGAGGAGGGCTGTCTGGCTGCTGGCAGCTGGCAGCCCAGCCACTTACCTGCCTTGTTTTATTTCCCCCACCGCTGCCAGAAATAGTTGATGGTATTTCTGGAGGTTAATGGTGCCCGCGAACCACCTCCATCCCCCTTTTGTATGTCAGTCGTCACGGCACCCGAGTCCGGGCCCCAATCCATGGTGCCTGGCCACCACCACCCGTTTACATCTCTACCCAAACGGGGCGGGAGGTTCCCGATCTCCAGGACGGAGCCGGCCAGGGCCAGCATCTCCGTGCGATCATCCGCCTGAAGCCCACCCCAGCCGCACGGGTCAGCAGCACCAGAGGGCTGTGCTGGGACCCCGGCGCCCGCCGGCCGCCTCTCGGGCGAACGCCTCGCACCGAGGTACCCCGGGCTCCCGCCGTGCTTGCCCGTTCAGCACCACAAACATTTCATTGATCTGTTTGCCACATTTTACAATGAAGAACTCTGTTTCCCCTCATGCAAACGGCTCTTGATTCCTCACTTTTAAGCTACAGATGTCAACTGAAGTTGAATCAAACTTCCGAACTAGTAAATGCACGCAAAAGTCAAGCGAGAAGTGTTTGGTTCCTTCATAACTGTTCAATTTAGGTCATTCTCAGGTTCATCAAAAAGCAATTATTGTACTAAAATACCAATTTAAGTCTGATTCACCTTCTGCTGTTGCTATGCTTATCAACTCATCTGTATGCTCTGTCTAATTCACATTGTAAACTCCATCCCTGATAAAACACCAGAAAATCCTCTCCACGCTAAAAATGCCTCTCTAAACCCAAAAAGTTTTGTAAAAGCAATATGATTTATGTTTTTTTTTACCTGAGAGAGGGATGGTACCTCTGATCACACGGGTCTGTGATGAGGTGGGGACAGGGTGGGACCCCACAGGTAACCCCTGGGGCATCCCCATCCCCATCCCCATCCCCATCCCTGAGCTGGAGGCTCCCGAGGCAGCAGGAGGGGAGGGATACAGGAGGAGTGTGCTCCAGAGCTTGCGGGAAAACCTCAGCCTTGCAGTAGCAGCAGTTTACGGGTCCCACCAGAGCAAATGGGCGTTGGAGGGAGGGAGGGAAAGGGCTGCACCAGGACTAACAGCATGCCAGAGGCCATCTCTTCATCTCCTCTCCCTCGTCTCAGGGAACCGGCACTTCTCCGAGGGGAAGGGGTGAAGGAAAGGTGGCGTACCTGCAGAGAGGGGCACAGCCCTCCCTCAGCTCCAGGCTGTAAATACGATGTCTTCCAAATACTGATCTGGGATTATAACAAATCTTTTCTAGATATGTTTAACTCAGATTTCCTCTTGTCACTGTCAGTGATGTGCCCCCTTCGCGCTTGAGGAGAAGCCTCCTGAGGAGCATGGCTTGGACCAGCAGCCAACTTGGCAAAAAACCCCAACCTCCAAAAAAAGCAACACCCTCCCCTCCAAAACGAACAAAATGGGCAGCACCAGCGCACACACAGCAGGACAAAGCGTGGGCAGCGGCCAGGGGAGCCCGTGCTGCCCCTTAGACCTCTGATAAAAAGATGAAGTCTCTGTAAAAAGGGTAATGCGCTAACCCATAGCCATGCGATACCTGTTAGATCAGAACAGCAGAAGACAGTTGTTTCAGCCCCAGCTTCTGCTCCTTCGGCCCAGAATGGAATGTTTCATATATTAACAGAGAAGAGAATAGCACAAGCATTTTTCTTCCATTTCAAGCTGAATGTAAAACCTCACCCTCTACCATTTAAAAGAAAAAGAACCAACCTCCCGCAACATCCAAGAGGGTCTCCAGGAAATATTTATGACTAATCTTGAATTTTGTGCTTTCTTGTAATTTTCTTCCCTTCAGTTTGAGTTAGAATTTAGCAGCTTTAAACTAAAATGCCGATCTTGTCACACCAGCTTCCCTCCAGTTCGCACACCTGTGCCACCAGCCCCTGAAGCCTTCCTTGCCTGCACCTGCCTCATCGCTGGGTGCCCAGGTCTCCCACCAGCGCCAGCACTGGCCAAGTGGCCGGTGGCTTTCGCCGGCGGCTCCTGCATGTCCTTCCATGCGCCCGCAAGTGAAGCTGGAAGCCGGCGCTCTCTGGCATTCTCTGATGGTCACAACTCAAAACTGAAAGGATAGATCTGTGGATTTGGTCCAATTTCGAGGGGGAAAGTGTCCATGTCATAAATATCACCACCGCAATGGCACTTAGAGGGCACCGAAGAAGGTTAAATTGTTGGCTTGAACTCAACTGAGGTCCAGATCTGCTTAAGGCCAAACTCTTGGCTTCTTGACTCCTCGCAGAAGCTGTGTCGCTGGATTCAACACAAACTAATGATTTCCCTTTGCAATTATGGGCAATACCTTTATTACGTCAGAGGATTACATGCATATAGAAATGAGATACAGCAGCGCATCGCAACTTTCACAGGAGGGCTGTAAAACAGGGAACGTTCACAGGCAGACTATTAACAGAAATCCTAAAAATGTTCTCCTAATAATTGTCACTATTTAAAACCAATCTCTTTTGCATTTTTCTATCCTCAAAATTGTCAGTCTTTTGAAAAAGGAGCAATTACCTGTATTACTTAGTCTGTTTGACATTGGTACTTACCATCTATTAAATCTATTTCCAATTTTAAACAGAAGGAGGTGCTACAAAGACCACCAAATCAGCCCAAATTGCAGAAATTAACCCTTGAGGCACCAGTTCTTGCTGCTTCTTTTTCCTTCTAGCAGGTGTAGTTGTCTGGCCATTCGTGATGATGTCCTACCTTCCCTTAATTAAACAAGCTATATAGCACGTGAGGCAGGTAATTTTGTTCTATTTTATCGGTGCACAAGCATGCTTCTGCCCTCTAATGGAGAGAGCACGTTAGAGGCATTTGAAGACACGGAGAGCGCTCTCCTCTGGGCAGCAGGAACTAGAACATTTCCTTCACTGTTAGTATCGCAAGAGGAACCAGCATTTTGGAAGCCACAGCCCATTGGTTATAATACCTGGATGCAATGTTCTCTGGCTCTGTACTGCCAAGCTACTATAACGAGTCTCCAAGAGGGTAGATGTCTGCACGGCAAATGGAATATGAACACATGGGTTTATCCCCTGGAAGGCAGAGGACCTGCTAGGTGTGCCTTTCATCTTACCACGGCCTCTCACCATTCGAGTAGATTCCTCCATCCTGGTGATCAAAAAAAGCATCAGATGCACGTTACCTGCTCCGTGCATGGATTTTCTGCAGGCAAGGAGCGTCACCTTGGGAAGCAAACCTCCCGGCCTCCAGCCCCTGGCTCCAGCGAGGTTCCTTTCCACTGAACCGTCTATAGGGTGGGATGAATCCTAAGACAGCTTGGACACCTCTAGTCATCAGCCCATCTTCGCACTGGTTAGAAATCCAGCAGGCAGCACTATCTCATGGACCCCAAAGGCCCCACAGTGGGGTCACAGAGCAAAGGAATGGCACAGCAATGCCTTTCTCAATGGGAAGCTTGGCCCATGGTCAAGGTGGGCCTTGGAGGGGGTGATGAGCTGGTGACCGAAATGTGGCTGGGCTTCTCCCCCCGAGAGCTGCCACTGACTCCCACCAGCCCTCCCGCCTCCGCGGGCAGCGGGCTCCAGCTGCGAGGGGACATCTCGCCGGGCGGGCCAGCGATGGTGTGCCTGCACCGCAGGGCGGCCACTGCCTCCGCCACCAACCCCGCTCCTCCTCACGGCACCACCGAAGGAATATCCGACCACACGGGGCTCCAGGGCTAGAAATTCCCAACGCACTTTTTGAGATGAAATCATTTTAAAAGAATGCAGCTCTCGCTACTCGTAAAGTCGGCTCTGTCATCGCTCCACCAACTGCACAGTCTGCTACACTAATTACAGCGCGTAATGCAATCAATACGATTCTCGGAGAAGAGAGTTATTTCTGCGATCTTGCAGTAAAAAAGCCTTACAGCAAGAACCGGCACTCAGGCCGGCCTCTATCTAAGAAGATGTCAATAATTTGGAGCAAGACTTTGGTGTCTTTGGATCCTGGGTGGCAAAGAAGACACTCTTTGTGCCCACCAAAACAACTGAGAGAACTATTAACTAATGAGAGCATGCGGATTGTGAAGTATGAAGACCATCCTGTTTCAATCAGAGCGCTCATGGAAGAGATGAACGTGGTCCTACGATGACCGAACTACCCCGCGCAGCCTCGCGGTCCTGCTCTGCAGGTCTTTCCAGCTCATTTCCTCAAGAAGAGCAAATGGCCATTGCAGGACCCGGCCTGAGGTGGCCACAACGGGCACGAAGGGTTCACCTCCCTTCTGTGAAATACAGGCATTTCTTTTCAAAACTACTGCTTGAGTATCACCTTTCTGAGCTTATGTGACTGCAAGACCCGAGTCCCGTCTCGCTGGAGAAGTCAGTGCACGCGAGCAAACAGGCTGTCCTGAGGGCTCTGCATTTTGGAAAACAGTTTTCTTGTAGGATCCAATTGCCTTTCTGTTTCTCATGGAAAGAGCAGAGGTGGTGAGAGGCTGTGGGGAGATGTTGGCTGCTGCCTGCTTTCAGTTCTGCCTGCAGGAAGCAAAAGTCAGCTGGACCTTTTTTTTTCCATCTTCTTACTCTGGAGGACTTTGCGAGGGGCTCTTCCTGTTGGGTGCACAGTGGGAAACAAAACAGAAAAAAAATTGCTATGAACAAAAAATACCAGAAGCAGGAAACAAAGAAGTGGCTAAAATTAGAGTCTTCAGGGGCAGGTACGGCCTTTTCCCCAAGAGAAGTGGCAGAGGGAACT